TCACAGCCTAAAGAAGTTTTACAAGATTTAACTGAGTTAGTAGATCAAAAAATAACTATTAAGTCAGCTAAGTCTAACGTATTCCATGATAAATTGTTTGAAGTAGAGTGAGCAGAGAACAATACAAAATCAATAATTTCTAAAGAAATTAAGCATCTGAATAGGAAAATTGCAGCAAGTAGCAAGATAGCAGTTGATATTCTATTTACAGATAGAGAAGTTAAAGAATATTATGAAATATCTAACGCTCAAAAAACTAGTACAGTAGCGAGTATGTCTAATTCAAATAGTGAGGTCAATTCTGGTAGTGCAGGACCTGCAGAAATTGAGCTCATAGACTTAGCCTTGCATACAAAAGACATAATTCTTGAGGATGCAGAAGATGTTCCACTTGGAATGTTGCAAAAAGAAATTAATAATCCAAAGGAATATTGGAAAAAGAAACTAGATCATACAGTTGCAAACTATAAAGAACCACAAGGAACCTCCCTTGAAGATAGTCATTAGGCACTCAATGAAAATACCTGTGAAAAAGCAGGAGAATATAGAGCAAAAATTTCTTCCATCTTACTTCCTAGGAAATCAAAAGAAGAACGGATCAAATTTATAAAAGAAACACTATATAGAAGTAGTCATATAAGTGAGATTGTTGAGTACTTTGAAAATGGAAATAGTTGGGTAGTCATTATTTTTGATTGCCTCAAAGGTCTAAACATTTTGAGAGAGAAATTAAAAAAAAAAGAGATTGAATGGTATAATGTAATCTTTGATAACTATGAAACTACTAAGGATTTAGCAGACCTCTTCAAAAAAATACCGAAAGCAAAATTAGCGAATACAGAGAATAAGACTCCTACTCCGAAGATTAACAAGTTACAGACTAAAAAAGAAAAATCAAGAACAGGGTTTGAGAAAGTAGTAGACAAAGAAAGGAAAGACACACATAAAGAAAATATAATCACAGTGTAGGACCTTCCAAAATAGGTGAAAAGAATCTACATCTTCGAATCTATACAATATCTCGGACGAATTAGTCATATGGGGTGAAGTCAATAGAAAAGGGTCAAATTTTTTCTAAGTAAATATTTTCTCAAGTTTAGAATAAAATATTTCAACAACTATTAAAGCAAATCCTATAAAAATTTTTTTATTTTAATTTTAATAAGTTATAAATTTAAAATAAAAAAAAAATTATTAAATTTGATAAGATTATTATTGAGATATTTTAATTTAAAAATAAAAAAAATTTTACTAAAAATGATTTGTCCCTTTTCTATTGACTTCACCCCATATTGAGATAATTAGAGAAACAAGTAGAAAAATACGTGCAGAAATTGAGTTTGTACCAAATGCTATTTTCGTAAAGGACCTTATAGATATATGGTGCATCCCTCTTCTAAGTAACTGTTTGGTGAGAGTCACACTAGGAAGAAACAACACAGAGGTACTTAAATCTCATAACAAATTTTCTAGAAAGATTCTAGATCTACCAGAAGATACAAATGAGGTATTACTGTGGAGACAGGTTAAACGAACAGGAGCTAAGGCATTGCATATCTTTAAAAATGCAAACAACAATAATAAAAGAAGTACAACAGTCTACTTTGTGAATGAAACAGACCTGTTGGAAAGTTCTAAGTTCTTAGTTTATTACTATAACAACAAACTGAAATGGGCAACAATCAGAAATAATAGCTCTGAAAAGAAGGAATACCCTGTAGCAAACAAGGCTCTACTAGTTATACCACAAGAGTTAAGCCACAAAAGTTTAGGAAAAAAGAAGGAAACAGAGCAAGATCTAGAAGAAGGATACTCGAAATATACATATCAAGAACATGAATACAGAAAAACAGAGTTAACAGTACAAAAAAATTATACAGAATATAGTGGCTATGAATATAAGCAAGAAAATAAATCTGTAAGAAATTCACAAACAGATTTTGATAATAGTAGCTCTGAGTTTTCAGAAAGTAGTAATACAAATAGAGCAAGCAGTTACAAGAACAAAAGTAGAAGGAGGTAGCAGTCTCGTAATTATGAAAGATCTCAAGATAGCAAAGATAATAGTTTAAGTATAAGAGAAGTTCTTAAGA